TACAGTAACTGTTCACATTTTGAAAAACAATTTTTATCTGACTAATGTTGGTGACCATACTATAAAAATCATCAGGGTCAAAATATGGATATCCGATTAAACATGTTCTGAAAGGGTCAATGGCAGAAGCAAGACTCAAACAAAACGAATCTTGGCCAGTTTAGTTCTCCCATGTAACCCCACATATTTGTTCTGACATCAATTTTTGTTAAGTCTGCTATCACTAGTGTTAACACATTTATCAAAATCCACATTAATAACAGCCACATCGTGGTAGCCTAATGGCATTCTCTTCTTTTAGTTTTACGTTTCCACGCAAACCTTTTTGCAGAATTTGTTTTAGTTCTTTCCCATAATGGGGCAGGGACTGTCCAAATGTAAGGCACGAATAAAACTCTAGCACATTCAGTGTTAACCAACTCGACATCAAAGGCCTGCTGCTGGAGCTGATCTGTTAAGTCCAAACAAGCTGTGGCTAGCCTTTCCACTCTGTTTTTTGGCAATTCTTCTACAGTGTCCACTCTCTCCACAACGATAACATGGTCCCATGTTCTGAATGATTTTTTTCTTTTCTGGCATTTTGTTAGTAACAGCAGCAACTACTGTTTTTTCTTTTTCTGCTAGTAAAACACCTTTTACAGCAGAGGCAATCATAGCTGCTTGGGCACTCTGTTCTGCCCTGGAAGCACTTAGTAGCATTTCATCAACAGGAGCTCCATTTGGTAAACCTGCTAATATAGTCCTTGTTCTGATATTGGCATTTTCAAAAGCTAACCACCGAAACATAGTCTTCAATTTCATCCGGTAAGTCCCCTTGATCTTTTATAGCTTGAGATAGTCGACCAATACAGGCACCGTATGGTTCTGTAACTCCTTGTCGAACAGCCGCAAATGGAGCTGTTTTTTTCACTTCAGGAATCTGCAGAAGAGCCCGGTGGGCTAGCTGTTGTGACATTTGGTGAAAAATTGGAGGGAAAGTCACCTGTACGGCCGTGGTGGCATATGCGCCCTGACCTGTTAACATATCTACAGTCACAGCATAAAATGGATCGTTCTGATCACGTTGATGCTTATTTAGTTCAGTAATTACAAGTTGTTTCCCTGTTCTTTCCCAAATTAAATATTGAGAAGGAGTCAATAAAAGTGAAGCAATGTTCTGACAATCAGCAGGAGCCATCAAATCTGCTGTAAATATATATTTTCTAATGTTCTTTGCTACTTCTGATTTTAATCCATAAGTGGGTACTGTTTGTTTTGCTTGCTGTAAAATCTTCCAATCATGTGGTTCCCACTTCCCGACTCCCCCTTCAATGACCACGGGGCAGGCTAAAGATCCAACTGTCTGCCAGTCTCCTTCTAAAATAGCATCTCGGACTGCTCCAGTCCATCGTCGCTGCAC